AGCAAACAACTACTGTTGAAGCCACAACGATGGCTGTAGATACCACTATAGGTGAGGTAACAACCAGTCCTGCGGTTGATACGACTGTTGAGGATGCAGTTACAACAGGAGCACAGACACCTACTGTTGTAGCCACAACAGTGTCAGCAGATACCACTACAGCTGCGTCGACAACCTCTCCTTCAGTGGATACAACTGCTGCAGATGTGACAACCGCAGCAGAACAGACATCTATTGCTGATGCCAGTACAGTTGCAGTCACAACAACAGGTGCAGATACTACTACAGCTGAGGGAACGACTCCTTCAGTGGATGTGACAACTGCTGATATCACAACAATGACAGAGCAAACAACTGCTGTTGAAGCCTCAACGATGGCTGTAGATACCACTAAAGCTGAGGTAACAACCAGTCCTGCGGTTGATACGACTGTTGAGGATGCGGTTACAACAGGAGCACAGACATCTACTGTTGTAGCCACAACAATGTCAGCAGATACCACTACAGCTGTGGCAACAACCTCTCCTTCAGTGGACACAACTGCTACAAATGTGACAACTGCAGCAGAACAGACATCGATTGCTGATGCCAGTACAGTTGCAGTCACAACAGCAGGTGCAGATACTACTACAGCTGAGAGAACAACTCCTTCAGTGGATGTGACAACTGCTGATATCACAACAATGACAGAGCAAACAACTACTGTTGAAGCCACAACGATGGCTGTAGATACCACTATAGGTGAGGTAACAACCAGTCCTGCGGTTGATACGACTGTTGAGGATGCGGTTACAACAGGAGCACAGACATCTACTGTTGTAGCCACAACAATGTCAGCAGATACCACTTCAGCTGCGTCGACAACCTCTCCTTCAGTGGAGACAACTGCTACAGATGTGACAACTGCAGCAGCACAGACATCTATTGCTGATGCCAGTACAGTTGCAGTCACAACAGCAGGTGCAGATACTACTACAGCTGAGGGAACGACTCCTTCAGTGGATGTGACAACTGCTGATATCACAACAATGACAGAGCAAACAACTACTGTTGAAGCCACAACGATGGCTGTAGATACCACTATAGGTGAGGTAACAACCAGTCCTGCAGTTGATACGACTGTTGAGGATGAAGTTACAACAGGAGCACAGACACCTACTGTTGTAGCCACAACAGTGTCAGCAGATACCACTACAGCTGCGTCGACAACCTTTCCTTCAGTGGACACAACTGCTACAGATGTGACAACCGCAGCAGAACAGACATCTATTGCTGATGCCAGTACAGTTGCAGTCACAACAGCAGGTGCAGTTATTACTACAGGTGAGGGAATAACTCCTTCAGTGGAATTGACAACTGCTGATATCACAACAATGACAGAGCAAACAACTACTGTTGAAGCCTCAACGATGGCTGTAGATACCACTAAAGCTGAGGTAACAACCAGTCCTGCGGTTGATACGACTGTTGAGGATGTGGTTACAACAGGAGCACAGACATCTACTGTTGTAGCCACAACAGTGTCAGCAGATACCACTAAAGCTGCGGCGACAACCTCTCCTTCTGTGGACACAACTTCTACCGATGTGACAACCGCAGCAGAACAGACATTGATTGCTGATGCCAGTACAGTTGCAGTCACAACAGCAGGTGCAGATACTACTACAGCTGAGGGAACAACTCCTTCAGTGGATGTGACAACTGCTGATATCACAACAATGACAGAGCAAACAACTACTGTTGAAGCCACAACGATGGCTGTAGATACCACTATAGGTGAGGTAACAACCAGTCCTGCGGTTGATACGACTGTTGAGGATGCGGTTACAACAGGAGCACAGACACCTACTGTTGTAGCCACAACAGTGTCAGCAGATACCACTACAGGTGCGTCGACAGCCTCTCCTTCAGTGGACACAACTGATACAGATGTGACAACAGCAGCAGAACAGACATCTATTGCTGATGCCATTACAGTTGCAGTCACAACAACAGGTGCAGATACTACTACAGCTGAGGGAACGACTCCTTCAGTGGATGTGACAACTGCTGATATGACAACAATGACAGAGCGAACAACTTCTGTTGCAGCCTCAACGATGGCTGTAGATACCACTATAGGTGAGGTAACAATCAGTCCTGCAGTTGATACGACTGTTGAGGATGCGGTTACAACAGGAGCACAGAAACCAACTGTTGTAGCCACAACAGTGTCAGCAGATACCACTACAGCTGCATCGACAACCTCTCCTTCTGTGGACACAACTGCTACAGATGTGACAACTGCAGCAGAACAGACATCTATTGCTGATGCCAGTACAGTTGCAGTCACAACAGCTGGTGCAGATACTACTACGGCTGAGGGAACAACTCTTTCAGTGGATGTGACAACTGCTGATATCACAACAATGACAGAGCAAACAACTACTGTTGAAGCGACGACGATGGCTGTAGATACCACTATAGGTGAGGTAACAACCAGTCCTGTGGTTGATACGACTGTTGAGGATGTGGTTACAACAGGAGCACAGACATCTACTGTTGTAGCCACAACAGTGTCAGCAGATACCACTTCAGCTGCGTCGACAACCTCTCCTTCAGTGGACACAACTGCTACAGATGTGACAACCGCAGCACAACAGACATCTATTGCTGATGCCAGTACAGTTGCAGTCACAACAGCAGGTGCAGATACTACTACAGCTGAGGGAACAACTCCTTCAGTGGATGTGACAACTGCTGATATCACAACACTGACAGAGCAAACAACTACTGTTGAAGCCACAACGATGGCTGTAGATACCACTATAGGTGAGGTAACAACCAGTCCTGCGGTTGATACGACTGTTGAGGATGCAGTTACAACAGGAGCACAGACATCTACTGTTGTAGCCACAACAGTGTCAGCAGATACCACTAAAGCTGCGTCGACAACCTCTCCTTCAGTGGACACAACTGCTACAGATGTGACAACTGCAGCAGAACAGACATCTATTGCTGATGCCAGTACAGTTGCAGTCACAACAGCTGGTGCAGATACTACTACGGCTGAGGGAACAACTCCTTCAGTGGATGTGACAAGTGCTGATATCACAACAATGACAGAGCAAACAACTACTGTTGAAGCGACGACGATGGCTGTAGATACCACTAAAGCTGAGGTAACAACCAGTCCTGTGGTTGATACGACTGTTGAGGATGCGGTTACAACAGGAGCACAGACATCTACTGTTGTAGCCACAACAGTGTCAGCAGATACCACGTCAGCTGCGTCGACAACCTCTCCTTCAGTGGACACAACCGCTACAGATGTGACAACCGCAGCACAACAGACATCTATTGCTGATGCCAGTACAGTTGCAGTCACAACAGCAGGTGCAGATACTACTACAGCTGAGGGAACAATTCCTTCAGTGGATGTGACAACTGCTGATATCACAACAATGACAGAGCAAACAACTACTGTTGAAGCCACAACGATGGCTGTAGATACCACTATAGGTGAGGTAACAACCAATCCTGCGGTTGATACGACTGTTGAGGATGCAGTTACAACAGGAGCACAGACATCTACTGTTGTAGCCACAACAGTGTCAGCAGATACCACTACAGCTGCGTCGACAACCACTCCTTCAGTGGAGACAACTGCTACAGATGTGACAACTGCAGCAGCACAGACATCTATTGCTGATGCCAGTACAGTTGCAGTCACAACAGCAGGTGCAGTTATTACTACAGCTGAGGGAATAACTCCTTCAGTGGATGTGACAACTGCTGATATCACAACAATGACAGAGCAAACAACTACTGTTGAAGCCACAATGATGGCTGTAGATACCACTATAGCTGAGGTAACAACCAGTCCTGTGGTTGATACGACTGTTGAGGATGCAGTTACAACAGGAGCACAGACACCTACTGTTGTAGCCACAACAGTGTCAGCAGATACCACTACAGCTGCGTCGACAACCTCTCATTCAGTGGAGACAACTGCTACAGATGTGACAACTGCAGCAGCACAGACATCTATTGCTGATGCCAGTACAGTTGCAGTCACAACAGCAGGTGCAGTTATTACTACAGCTGAGGGAATAACTCCTTCAGTGGATGTGACAACTGCTGATATCATAACAATGACAGAGCAAACAACTACTGTTGAAGCCACAACGATGGCTGTAGATACTACTATAGCTGAGGTAACAACCAGTCCTGTGGTTGATATGACTGTTGAGGATGCAGTTACAACAGGAGTACAGACACCTACTGTTGTAGCCACAACAGTGTCAGCAGATACCACTACAGCTGCGTCGACAACCTCTCCTTCAGTGGACACAACTGCTGCAGATGTGACAACCGCAGCAGAACAGACATTGATTGCTGATGCCAGTACAGTTGCAGTCACAACAGCAGGTGCAGATACTACTACAGCTGAGGGAACAACTCCTTCAATGGATGTGACAACTGCTGATATCACAACAATGACAGAGCAAACAACTACTGTTGAAGCCACAACGATGGCTGTAGATACCACTATAGCTGAGGTAACAACCAGTCCTGTGGTTGATACGACTGTTGAGGATGCAGTTACAACAGGAGCACAGACACCTACTGTTGTAGCCACAACAGTGTCAGCAGATACCACTACAGCTGTGTCGACAACCTCTGCTTCAGTGGACACAACTGCTGCAGACGTGACAACCGCAGCAGAACAGACATCTATTGCTGATGCCAGTACAGTTACAGTCACAACAGCAGGTGCAGATACTACTACAGCTGATGTAACAACTCCTTCAGTGGATGTGACAACTGCTGATATCACAACAATGACAGAGCAAACAACTATTGTTGAAGCGACAACGATGGCTGTAGATACCACTAAAGCTGAGGTAACAACCAGTCCTGTGGTTGATACGACTGTTGAGGATGTGGTTACAACAGGAGCACAGACATCTACTGTTGTAGCCACAACAATGTCAGCAGATACCACTACAGCTGTGGCAACAACCTCTCCTTCAGTGGACACAACTGCTACAAATGTGACAACTGCAGCAGAACAGACATCTATTGCTGATGCCACTACAGTTGCAGTCACAACTGAGGGATCAGCTGAGGGAACAACCCCTTCAATGGATTTGTCAACTGTTGATATGATAACCACTGCAGAGAAAACAACCACTGTTGAAGCAATTACAACAGTTGCCACAACAACAATGGCTGTTGATACCACTAAAGAGAATGTAACAACTACTCCTGTTGTGGATACAACTTCTGCTGGTTTGGAAACCACATCAGCACAGACAAATAGTGTTGTAGCCACTGCTACAGTTCGAGCCACAACAATGACAGCAGAGGTAACAACTAGTTCTTTAGTGGAAACAACTACTGCAGATGTAACCACAGCAGAACAGACAAATAGGGTTGAAGTCACTACTACAGTCGGAGTTACAACAACTAAAATTGAACCAGCAAGCACTGCCTCAGGTGTTTTCAGTACCTCAGGTTTGTGAATTTTAATTTTTTTTGTTAAAATTTTGTTGTTTTGAGTGTCAGGTCTATTTGCAGTCATTATGCTTGAGAAAAGTATGCTTTGTGGGTAAATTTTGTCTGTAATGGTTTAATTTTCACTATAACAAACACAACATGCAGGCTAGAGTGGTAAGTCATGAAGAACTTTCACTATTCAGCACAAACTGTATCTATGAGTTATTGAACTGAAATGAATTTCAATGAACCTGTATGGAGAACCATTCTGGGGACACATGAAGATCCTAAAATAAGCACAATTAGTGGATCTTGGAATGGCACTTCACCTTTTCACATCTCATTAATATTTTAACTGGTTCCCACTTGTAAAAAAAAATTCACATTTTTCATTTATACAATAATAATAATAATAATAATAATAATAATAATATAATAGTGGGTATTTATAAAGCGCACGCATCCAACAGGACTGGTGCTCAAGGCGCTGCATCATTATTACCCCTGCTCACTGGACCCATAAAACATTCCAAATACCATCTCAGCTCCCTGGGGTGTATATAGCTGGATGCTGCCAGTTAGGCGCAAGGAAACTAATTCAATCACAATAACCATCTCTGCCCACTTGACTAGATCGAATACACCACAGGCTAAATTTTATGTTTTCTAGTTTGAATTATTCTGTGAAATTAAATTAGGGTTTAATAAAGTAGGCTTTTATTGAAGTTGTAGTTTGTATTATCAACTGAAGAAATCATCAACTTAACATGCCACTTCTCCGGTTTTAACCGGAATTCCTTTTTTCTTTTAACATCTCACAAAATTCTGGTTTTTCTGGCCGTCAAAATAAACCGGTAGAGAAAAGAAAAACTGTGGAAATGCGTTGATTTTTACCTCGTTAGCGCTCTTGATTTAGTACATTTAGGCGCACGCATGGCACAACGTTGTTCGTTGAAGTAGTCTTAAAAAAAGTCTTTATTATTGCCGAGCCTCCATGCGATACAGGCGGCCAACGTAGGTCATGTAAACAAGGTTTTCTTTTTAACGTTTTTGTGTGTATTTTTTTTAAATTGGTATAATTTAGGAATTATTTTTTTATTTTAAAGCTCGAGGAACAAATCAATTTCCATTGTGAGTTTTTTGTTAACATTACGTTTTATATTTGGCAGATGGCAATCTCCTGCCAGAATGCTTTCAAAACATAACTTCAATTTTCTTTTTTTATACAAAATATTTAATGGAAATATTGTTGGACTTTGATTGTCAAATATACAAGACCAAACCATGACTATCAAAATGTTGTTTAGAGCACCAGTATTTGGATACATATTCTGTGTTTGTGCATTCGCTGTGCGGGTAAGTTTTTCATCAAAAGGAAGTCAGGATGATAAATGAATAAGGTAGTTGAAAGAAAAAGTTTTATGCTGAGGCACTTTCAAAATTTGTCAATCGTTAATTGTCTTTTGGGACCAAGGCACACGATTTTTTCCTGCGGCGTAATTCAATTGGGTTGTTGCCTTTCAAGAGGCCTTACTTTATTGAGAGCATTTGGTCATTAACATTGTCCAATTAAGATTCAGTTTTCAAATTAAAATGCTTTTGTACTACAACAGGTGCAGATACCACCACAGCTGAGGTAACAACTAGTCCTGTTGTGGATACAACTACCGAAGATGTGACAACCAGAGCAGCACAAACAACTAGTCCTGCAGAAACTACAATTGAACCAGCAACCACAGTCTCGGGTGTTTTCAGCACCTCAGGTTTGTCACTTTTCATTTTTTTCAAGTGAAATATTTTTGTTTTCTTCAACTTCAATGTTTTCTTTGCATTCATTGCACTCCAGAAAAGATCGCTCTGTGCTTTCTCTCAAATGATTTAATTTTCACTTTAACAAACACAAAGGATTGTCATGCAGGTCAGAGTACATACAATAATACATTTCATTGATATATTTGATTAAATATATTATTCATTGAGGAGGATCACTTTTCAAGACACACCATATCTATCAGCATTGCCAAGTCCGCAGCTCAAAGAATTTCAGAAATGAATTGAAAATTATCTCAAAAGCCTGCATGAAAAATCTTTTTGGAGACACTTGACAATTCTGTTCTTGTTCTTAAGTTTTTCTTGTCTGCTCATTGTTTGCCTATGACCCTCAAATTCTGGGACTTATACTAATACAAACACACACACACACACAATGGTGTGTGTTAACACTTTACCTGTTCGCATCTCATTTTTATTTGCACTGGATTTCCACTTTATGCACTGGTTTTCCACCTTGCACACTAGAAAAAAAAGATAATACATGTATTGAAGCTTTTTGCAGTGTCACTATTTGTGAAAGGTTTTATTTCTTTGAGCATCTTTCATCGAGAGTTTTGGCAAAAACTTTCCAGATTTTTTCAGCCCTTGCTTCAGTTTGTTTCAGCGTCAATGGAAAGCAAAGGGAAAAAAACACCCAAAGATTTAGACCTGGCTTTACAAGCATGCTGCAATCAAGGTTTTGTATTTTGCCATTGAATTTTTATCTATCTGAAAATAATTAGCTAAACAGGTTTGATTATAAGAGAACCCATTTACAATGCATGTTGGTGAATTGTTTGGAAAGTCAGGCAGTATAATGAAGTACAGATGCTTGAGGAATTAATTCACGTGATTACCTTCTAGACCTGCTTTTTGCATATATGCACATTTTATGTTTGGTTTTATCTGTTTTAAGTCTATTCCCGCACATCGTATACATCATTTGTGTTAGCACTGCAGTGTGTAGGTTGAAATTATGTCTCCAGTCTAGATCCATTAGATGATAGGCTAATTTTTTATTTTTTAGGGTTAGTTTGGAGTAGTCCTAGAAATTAAAGTAGGGTTTAGTGAGGTTGTAGTTTGCTCGTATGGTGTTGTACTGCACAGAGTGGCGAAATGCTTTTGTAGCACGTTTTGATTTTTTCTTTACATATATGTATTTTCAATTGAGTACATCATCCACTTAAAAATATAATGTTTTTGTGCACTTATCAGGATGAGGTATTATTCTCCATCCTTGTTTTTATTGGCACTGATCATTGTAGGTTTTTATTTTGTTCCTGAAATATTGAGATAAACCACGATTGGGTCACTCCGTGTAATATCAGCACACCTTCCATTGTCAGTCCCACGGAATATCTTTTAATTTGCTGAAATTGTTACGCCATCTGAGAAAACTCCAAATTCGAAAATGTGAATGTTTGGGTCATGTGGTTTGTGAGTTGCTGGTCGTTAAACTTTTGAACTATACTGTACATCTGTATCTCTGGGTAGGAATGTGGGATAAAACTTGGGAATGTGGGAGAATATTTATATTAAATTATAGCTCTTAACATAAGAAATTATCTACTTTACAGATGAAAAACAAATTGAAATTTCAGTGTGAGGTGATGCAAAATAAACATTGACATTTGACCCCATGGAACTGTAAAACCACATTTTCAAAATCAATAAAAGGCCTCATATTACCTAATAATTTCAGCAAAGATGAAGAAAATCTGTGAGATTGACTGAGAAAGGTGTGTTGATTTGACCTATTGACCCTATTTAAAACCAAACTACTTGACTAATAACATCAGCTTTTTTTTGGTAACCCTTAAATTCATTCGTTTTTAATTGGCATTATGTTAATGCAAAGGTTGGGGGTTTGGTGCTGATTTTTTGATCCATGGTTCCAGTAATGCGCCTATTAATTGTTTCCCCCTACCCCCACCCCCATTTAATGTATGAACAGCTTATGGAAACTCATGTGAAAAATAATAACATTGTGATATTTAGCCCAGAAGAAAAATGGGGAAAAAACAAGGTGTCTGTAAATTGGGCTAAAAAGTAGGCGAATGGTTGCCTAACGTGGGAGACTTGAACAAGTTCAAGGAAATTCCCCAAATTGTTGGTGAGAAAATTTGTTAATTTAGACGTTATTATTGTAAACAACAATAATCTCTTCTTTTGGGGATTTCCTTGAACTGTTCAAGTCCCCAAAGTTTGGCAACCCTGGGCCTAATTTTAAGCCCAATTTACGGACATGGGGGCTAAATATCAAGATGTTATAATTGTTCACATCATTTCCCAATTTTGTAAGCTGTGGCAGGAGCTACTACAAGTCACCTTGGTCGGTCGGTGGCCGAAAACGTGACCAAAAATATTGTACAAAAATTGCGCAAATGTTAGACCTGTAAACGTTGCGTCAATAACAACCACGTGTCATTGCGCCACGTTTACCGGTCTAACCCTCTGCATAGGCGTAGCTGTGGGGGGGGGGGGGGGATTTTATAAAGACTGCCTTTTTCCATTCAAATGCCCTTTTTTGAAAGGGGACTACCCCCCCCCCCCAATAATTTGTAAAGCATGCCCTTTTTTTTACGAAGTGCCCTTTTTCTGTGAACAAGTGCCCTTTTCAAAAAAGAAGTGGTGGTTTTTTTTTTTGGCATCTGCCGTTTTGGTTGCCGTTTTCAGAATTTCGCCCATGTATCGCCCAGAAAAGCACCATATATTGGCCCTTTGTGTGCATAATTGTCGGTTTTGAACAGCGCCCCTATCGACAGATGGTACCAGCCCCCCCCCCTCCCAATTTTTAATTTTACGGAGACCAAGTGTCCGGAGAAAATAAACCTGTCTACATTTCACAACGGATGTGCAAGTGCCCTTTTCAAAAATTTAACCCCCCCAATAAAAATGACCGTGCTACGCCCCTGCTCTGTATATCTTTGTATGTTCTACATAGTACCCAAATTCAGCATGTGCGAGCAGCCACAAATAGCACCCATTAAGATATCTCCTAGTAAGAAGTCCTTTTCTCAAAACAGTTTTCGGTTTTTCTCCTAGAACAGTTATTTTAAAGTGGGATACTAATTTTACATCTGTAAAGTTCTTTTTCTTTCTGAATTAAGGCTCTGGAGGGATTTTGTTGGCAAGACAGCAACAGCTTATTATGCGCTCGCACATTTGTTGTTAAGTTTTGCCAGTTAAAGTTACTTTGTGAATTTGAACCTCATCAATGCTGACGTTTAGCGAGACCACTTAATGATATCTAAGGAAAAGGTAAATGCATGCAACTTTAGGGTATAATGGTAGCCATTGTGGATCTTTATTATGTCCTCAAGAACCCCCCCCCCCTCCCAAAAACAAAATCAAACACATGTATTGGTAGCAATAGTTATGTCAATGTCAAAATGTCTTTTTTTCCATTAATTTTCTTTCAAATAATTTGTGGAATTTCCTTGATTTTTTCAAGTCTCCCACGTTAGGCAACCCTCACTAATTAGGCCAATTAAAAGTCACCTCGTTTTTTTCACGTTTTTTGTTTGCTGAGCTAAATGGCACAATGTTATCATTGCTCGCATGATTTTCCATAAGATTTTAATAGGGTAATTGTGCCAGTAAGCAACTTGGTGAATTTGAAGCTCATCAATACTGAAGTTTGGCAAGATTGCTGGAAGATATCTGGAGACAAGGTAAATGCGTGCAGCATTTGGGTATAATAATAGCCATTGTGGATTGTTACTATGTCCTCTTAATTATTCAGTCACTTATATGCTTTAGAAAGTGTAATAGAAGTAAGGATGGGTTAGTAGAATCACCAAAATAAAATTTTTAAACAATACAAAATAGAAAATACATGTTTACCCAAATATGGGGGAAAATATATGACACGGCAAGTATTAACGATTTATGCAGATTAGGTATATTAAGGGTCAAAATTAACGATGGCATCCGTTCACATCTTGTTTGTTATGGTTCAAAGAATAGATCTAGCATGGATGCCAGCTATTAACAAAAAAATGCTGTGGAATTATTGTCTAGATGACTTTTCCACATTTAGTTGGCCTACTATCATATACCACCTGACTAATGACAGTAATTGCAGTTTTGCTGCTAGCAGCTAATAAAAGAAAAGAAACAGAGGACAGAACTTGTTATTGTCTCTTGCTGTATCCCCCACAAAAAAATTGTTATGGATGTTGGAAATTGAAACTCTTCAAAATGAATTCAGTAACAGAAACAAATTCTGTCAAAGTTATTAACATGTATACTTTGCGTCATTTTTTATAAAGCACATAACATATCGGTGGAACAAACCAAGATTTTACCTTCATTGAATGGTACATTTGGCAAACATTTTGGTCATTTTTTTACATACTTGTCTTGTTCAGATTTTGATGAAATTTGGCTATTTTTCTAAATATTTTGGAAAGAAATTACCAAATGACAATTTTTTTTCATGGCTTCAAAGTTGCGAAACAACAGGCTGTTTCTGAAGCCAATTTGACTATCCAACGTCGTTACAAAGTGTGGCTGGTACGTGAAATTGCCGACTGTGGTGGTATGTTATGGTAACACGTGATATAATTGTCAAGCTAATAAGCGAGGCCGTAAATGTCAGTGGTCCTATTTTTCCTTTGATAAAACAATTTCAGTGTTACCAATTAAGGAAATATTTATAATCAATTTCTAAAATTGATCTTTTGCAATTGCATAAAAAAAAAAAATAATTAAAAAAAAAACCAGTGCTTGGAATGTTGTTTGGGGTGTAATTATAATTGTTTTTAATTATTATTTCTTTCCATTTGTGGCAGTATCGGGGTGCTATATTGGGCGGGGAGGAGTCGAGGGTGGTTTTCATACCCCGGGACCATTCTTGTTTCCAAACATAAATAATAATAATAATAATAATAATAATAATTTGGGAGGCTAATCATCCTTACTCGCAGCTGGTATGCTGAATTGCGAA